AAAATCCCCGAGTGAGAAGTTTCATTAAAATTCATTAAAGTCTTTGCCTAAATTAACAATTTGTTTATATAATTTGTTTATAACAAATTAATAAAGGACTTATTTTGAAGAAAAGACGTCGGATTTGTCATCAGCGAGTATAAAAACCCCCGAGTGAGAAGTTTCATTAAAATTTATCAAGGTTATTGCTTAAATTGACAATTTATTTATATATTTGTTTATAACAATTTTAATATTTCGAATTTTGAAAAACTGACGTCGGATTCGTAATCAGCGACCCTGAAAACCCCCGAGTAAGCATTTTCAGTCAGATCTGAGAGTCAGATTAGTTTTTATGGAGTTTTTGCTGCAGTGGGTACCCGGGTACCCTGGGTGCGAAACAACGTAGAAAAAGTTGGATGTGGACACAAGGGTTAAATAAACAATTGTGAGATCGTTTTGAATGAAAACTGAATAAAATAAGATTTTGTTGAACAACCAAAATTTTTCACCTTTTTGATTAAATATTTTTAATAAGTTCGTCTTTCTTGAATTCGCATCTAATCTTTTGTGATTTTCTTTAAAAAATATTAAAATTATAATTTTTAGTAAAATGAAAGAAATTAGTTAAATCCTATCAATAATCAAGAGTAAGTTCTACTATTTCCTCAATTAATTAATCAAGCATAAATAAATCAATTTCACAAATACTTTCCCAAAATTTGATATATTTAACACATTATAAAGTTTACCACATTTTAAAATGATCAAACTATCATTAGAAAATAAATAAAAAACTCGTTTATTTCTCTGAAAATTAAACTAAAATAAATAATTTAAGTAAATAATTTATTTCTTAAATTAACTAATTAATTGGAGGGCAGGGATTCAGAATTAATTGAATCTTACACATTAACAAATTGATCGCCTATTGCAATGAATTTAAGATATATGTATCTTCAAGAGACTTACGATTTGCTTTTGTTACCCTTCCTACCTTTCGTAGTATACTTTTACTGTATATTTCTTACCACCAAATTTTCCCTCTAATCGCATTTTTCGCGGCGTCCTATTTTCTTAGCTAATAGTATTTAAATTATTTTGCTAAGGACAAAGCAATTCCTCTCTTTCTATGTCCGTTGTAAAGTTTGCAGAGAACAATGCCGTTGTCCAGCTGTCAATCATTTTTCTCTAACTGAATATAATTTCTTTAAATCTTTAATATCTTAAAAAATAATAATTTGACGATAATTTCAATTTTACCATAAATTTTTAAACAATTTTTAGTTTAATATGAAATATAATTTTATTTTATTATTATTAATTTAAGCAATTAAGTAAAATAATTTTTGTTATTTTATAAAAAAAATGTGTAAAATATAATTTATTAGTTTTATTATAGTTTATATTTATTTTTAATTTTTGTTAATAAAAAATCCTTAAATTTAAATTAAATTAATAATTTCCTTTTATTTTAAATTATATCTTTCTTCTCTTTCTATTATTTTTCTCTTGTATATTTCCTGATAATGTTATCATATATTACTAAATAATTTCTGACTTTCTTTTAAATAATTGATTATTTTTATAATAACTTTAGAAAATAAAATAATTTTTATTATTTTATTTACCAATATTTAAACTAATGTAAAATAATATTTTATTTATATATTATTAATTTTCTTGTTAGTATTTTTTTATTATGTTATATTGATTAAATTTGTTCTTCCTATACTCTTTTACTTTTTTGTGATTTCTATATTATTATATAGTTTGGATATTTACATATATATACATACATGCCCATACTCCTGAGTGCAGGTGTACTCATGTAAACAGTATTTTTCTTTCTTATATTGCCATATACCATATATATATATGTTACGGTTAAAGTGCGAAGTCCGGTGAATGTGCACATTAACCGGTCAATGTGCACATTCACCGGGCATTTTGGTAAAAGTGAGGAATCGGACATTTGGGGGAGATATTATGTACATTTACCAAGTAAATTGGTGATTGTACACATTGACCAGCCTTGGTTGGTAAATGTGAAAATTTGAAATGAGTGATTTGTTAAATAATTTTTTTATGCATATAAAATGTGAAAATGTAATGAATATTATTATTAATAAATTGATAAGATAATATTAAATATAAATTGTATTAAAGGAATAGAATTATAATAAATGAAAATGAAAATTATAAACAGAAGTAGGAAGACAAATATAAATAGAAGTTCAAATGTAAATAAATATATTAATTGATATGTCAATTGTATATGAATCAAACTTTTACAAATAGGATAGATTTGTAAGCGTTAGTTATTCTTCTAGTTTAATTTTGACAGTGACACTGTGCGTACTGAATTATATTTATAAACCTAAAAATGGCTGAAAATGTAGAAATGAAAAAAATATTTAATGAATATGCAGCCGAAATTATTCGAAATAAAAATAAAAATTGTGTATATTTGTCGGATGAGGAATATTCGAAAGTACTAAAGGAAGTGTGTGCGGCTAAATTGAAATCAAATAATTAAACCTGCACCGAATTTCGTCGACTTCAGTGGTATGATGTAATTACCATTGGAAAAGAGAGGAAATTAATTCAAAGTTCAGCATTTTCTAAAATACTTTAAAAATAGCATAAAAAATGTCAAATTAAACAAAATTTCATGGAAGTCGCCCCTGCAAAAATAAATAAATATATTTTTCGTATGCAGCAAAATTTATTTTGATCAAAACGATTTGGGTGAATGTGTACATTTACCGGTTAAAGTAGCAAAACATCAATACTATAATATTTATTTTTCACTTTAACCAAAATGATTTGGTGAATGTGTACATTTACCGGTTAATGTGCACAAAACAAAGAAATTCGTATGCTATTCTCACAGTCACCTACCTACTGATGCCCAATTTGGTGAATGTGCACATTCACCAACTTCGCACTTTAACCGTAACATATATACATATCAAAATAAGGCATTATATTTTTTAAATCAGATCAAACTCTCTATTTCTTTTTTTATTGAGTTATAATTCTCAATCCTTTGACTATTCGAATGTCTCTTCCATACTAATAAATTGATCATAATTTTTTTTATTTACCTTTCGAATAGATTTTTAGTGTATTTAGTGCATTATAATCTTTTCTATCCCTTATAAATTCATTCAAATTATAAAATACAATAAATTTACATGTTACCTTAGTTGTGGATGAAAGTCTAAGTTAAAAAATCTAATTAAAAAATGAATATTTTCATTGAATATTCATTACATTAACTTTAAATGTTACGTTTGTTGGACATAACAGTGGTTTGACCAAATAAAAGATAAAGTAAAAAAATTACCTAATTGTATTGTTTAAGTACAAAAACTAATTTATCGTATAAAGACAACATCCAATAATAAGAAAAAAAATTATTTTGAATTATTTACACTGGTCGACACGAAAAATGGTTCAAAGATCGGACAAGGCTATTCTATTAATCGCTGAACACGAATCTGACCTTTAAAAGTTCCCATCACGTCGAGATTTTGAGAAAAATGGACTCAAAGTCTCAAAAAACTTTGTTTTTGGCCTTTTTTCATCACGTGTAGAGAATGATGCCCAGGAGCTATAAGTCTTAAATTAAAGTTTAAACTCTCAACTATAAGAATCAAATCAAAATAGCTCTGAACCAATCAAATTTTTCATATAGCACAACTTTTTCATGTGCGCGCGCACTCTACTTGCACTCATAGAGCGGTACACAATGGCACACTTATTAATTTTATTTGCGCTATTTATTTTTATTTATCAATTTTGGGTTGTTCACTGAACATTGCTGATTAAATGTAAGGTTTTTATTAAAAAATCCAAAATAGCGGTTTCAAAATGTCGGACATAAAATTTCAAAAATTGATGGATTCGACTGAAACTTGGTATCTTGGAGTTTTTGAGGTTTGTTTTAATAAAAACCTTACAATCAATCAGCAATGTTCATCGAACAACCCAAAAATGATAAATAAAAATAAATAGCGCAAATAAAATTAATAAATAAGTGTGCCATTGTGTACCGCTCTATGAGTGCAAGTAGAGTGCGCGCGAACATAAAAAAGTTGTGCTATTTGAAAATTTTTGATTGGTTCAGAGCTATTTTGATTTGATTCTTATAGTTGATAGTTCAAGCTTTAATTTAAAACTAATTAGAGATTTCTAGCTCCTGGGCATCATTCTCTACACGTGATGAAAAAAGGCCAAAAACAAAGTTTTTTGAGACTTTGAGTCCATTTTTCTCAAAATCTCGACGTGATGGGAACTTTTAAAGGTCAGATTCGTGTTCAGCGATGAAAATCCTATAAAAAAAGCCTTTTCCAATCTTTGAACCATAAAAAAAGTTATTTTTTGCCGACCAGTGTTATTCATGAAAACATTGAATAAATTTTAATTAAAGTGTCGATTGAAAATTGACCACGTCTGAGGTGCGGGTTAGTTCGATTACTTATCAGACGATAATATTTTAAACATTAAAAAAAAATTTAATTACATCTTGTTTTTGATATTAAAAATATAGTTTTTATAAACTATTTATTATGTTTCACAATTACAATAAAAAAATTATCTATATCTGTAAATTTTATTTTTATAAAATTCAAGATTTAAAAAATTATCGTTTGTAGAAAATTTGGAGAACCTTTGTGTATGTATGGAATTCTTATACCAAGGAGGCCCTAGGGCAGTTGCCCTTTTTGCCCTACGGTAAATCCGACCCTAAGTATAAGTGATATAAGAACGTTCTGTTTTTAAAAATTAAGGCTGAGATATTCGAATAATTTTACCATATAATAAACTTTTATTTAATGTGAAAATGACGAAGTTAATCAAGAAAGATTAACAAAGTCTTTTATAACTCCCCGATCTCCCCTATTATAAATAATAATTGTAAATTTTGTTGCACGTACAAAAATTTATAATTTTCAATATTAACTGATGTATATTCATTCATTATTTATCTTACATTTTATTATTATTTTCAGGAATTTCAACTTAACTCAAGAAATATTGTTTTTGAGTTTTACACATATAAAATTGGCTTCCAAGAGTTTATCTTCCATGATTGTGTACAATAAGAACTTGACAACATATTGATTTTAACGAAGATTTTCTGGAACCTTTTGAAAATATTTTAAGATGCTTCGTTTTACTATGATGCTGTAAATTTTAATAATTAATTTTAAATGGGAAAGCTTGTTTGCTTTCATTCAAAATAAACTAAAATATGAGAGGTTGTTGTTGTGGAGAATGGGTTGCAGTGGGGTGTCAGTATGCGTGAGAAGTCAGAATGTCAAACTCACGCAGGTCACGTGAGGGGCACAACAGAAATGTGCTCACGTGATCCTCCTGTTCTTCATCCAGCCCTTGCTAAGGCTAATTGTAAAAACTCTAATCTTCAGTCGACTCACCACAACGATTCAAGCTCAGAAAGCAGCGGTCTACCAACTCCTGGTGGTCGACTTAAGTTTTTCAAAGATGGAAAATTTATTCTTGAGTTGTCCCACCGTCGAGATGGTGAACGTACCACTTGGTTTCCTGTACCAAAAAAGACATTCTGGCCTCCTGCAAGTACCACTCCAAACAGACAAGAGAGTTCCACTTCACTTAGCGGTAAGACATTTTTATTATTTCATTTTCTTTACAAGTAACTTGTTTTTTAATATTATACTTTGATGAAGCTTTTGTTTTTGAATTGTAATTATCTGCATAGCAATTCTCTTCTGTGTTAACCTTCACAGCACCTAAAATTGCAGCAATAATACTATTGTTTCTAGGGGCCGTCCATAAATTACGTCACACTATTTTTGACTATTTTAGACCCCCTCCTCCCCCATGTTACACTTTTGCATACATTAGCGCCATTTTTTCTGCTGGTTGTCACAAATTACTTGAGCCCCCCTCCCCCTTAAGGTGTGACGTAATTTATGGACGATCCACTACAATGCTGCTGCATTATTAAAATATTACGTCAATGTTACTGCAAGTTTAGGTGTTGTGTGGGAAGGCAGTTTTCTTGTTCTTTTGTGTAAAGTCTTTGTGTGTCTTTATGTGTGATTGCGAGAAGCGGGGAGAATAAAGAAATGATGTAACTTTGCGGAAAAGCGGACCGGGGCAGTATTCGTTCGCCCTTTTGGACAATTAGCCTGATACGGCAAATATATTTTATGTTTATATATGTACATTTTAAGTCATGTGGAGTGGTAAATAAATGTGATTAATTGGATTTTTAAATTGATTGTGTTCTTTATTTATTCTTATAATATTCTGAAGTGGAATAAAGGTCTCGGTCAAAATAGACGCTTGACGAATAATGTAATAATTGGTGAAATTATAACTGGCCTTTTGTGAGAGTGTGCTTTGTTTCGCTGACGGTGATTGTGGTTTATGGTGGTGATTGGTGAAGCTGTTTCGAAACGAAAGTGGTAACCTTGCTTTTAAAAGGAAAATAATCGTTTAAGGGGACATTCCAGTTCAAAATGGGGAAAAGGAAGCCTTTTTTAGAATGTATTTCTAAAAAAACCATAACATTTATTCAGAAATGTTTGTTTACATGTTATAAATATCTTATTGAAGAATATGAAAAAAAAAATTTTTAACTTGTAGTCCAAGATTGCGGCGATGTACATTTTAAAAATGTTCATTTTTCATGGGGGAATCGATTCCGAGATTTCTTCAATAAATAGAGACATAAAATACAAAACAATTTTCTTCGTTAGATATTTCTCTATGGATGGAACCTCAAAAAAGTGGAATTTTTGTCATTCTTTTTTTTAGGCTGCGTTTTTCCCAAAACTTGAAAAAACGTATGTTTTTATTTAGAATTTCTCTTATAGAAAAAAAGGGAAAAAGAAATTTTTCCGTTTTTGAGGTTCCATCCATAGAGAAATATCTAGCGAAGAAAATGTTTTTTATTTTATGTCTCTATCTGTTGTAGAAATCTCGGAATCGATCCTCCTATGAAAAAATAAATATTTTTTGAAAATGTTGTACATCGCCGATATCTTGGGCTACAAGTGAAAAAATTTTTTTTTTCATATTCTTTAATAAGTTATTTATAACATGTAAACAAAAGTTTCTGAATAAATGTAATGGTTTTTTTTAGAAATACATCCTACACGGTTGGCCTGAACTAAATTTTATTCAAACTTTCAGTAACTCTAAATTTTTTTGTTGATCCTGAATTTATATTTTTTTAGCATTATTTTAAGACAAAAAAGAAAAAAATCGGCAGAGGGCTTTTTGAAATATACCATTTAAAAAAAAAAATTTTTTTTACTAAAAACTAAGTTACAGATTTATTTGAGTTGACTTGTTTTGTTTGTATTTTTTTAAGCAGTCTAATAAATGTTAAGGTATTTAAAGGATAAGTAGGATTTCATAGCTGCAAAAGGTTTTTAATTTGACAAACAATGTACCGTTGACAAAAAAATATTTTATCGAACTAAATATTTGAAATATAATTTGTAATAAATCTGTAATAAAAATTACAATATTTTTTATACACATTTTAACGATTTATAAATGAAGTTAAATTTTAAAAATGTTTATGCAAAATATATAAACATGTAGCTTCAGATGTGCGAACATACTGACACACTGCACATCTGAAGCTACATGTTTATATATTTTGCATAAACATTTTTAAAATTTAACTTCATTTATAAATCGTTAAAATGTGTATAAAAAATATTGTAATTTTTATTACAGATTTATTACAAATTATATTTCAAATATTTAGTTCGATAAAATATTTTTTTGTCAACGGTACATTGTTTGTCAAATTAAAAACCTTTTGCAGCTATGAAATCTTACTTATCCTTTAAATACCTTAACATTTATTAGACTGCTTAAAAAAAATACAAACAAAACGAGTCAACTCAAATAAATCTGTAACTTAGTTTTTAGTAAAAAAAATTTTTTTTTTAAAATGGTATATTTCAAAAAGCCCTCCGCCGATTTTTTTCTTTTTTGTCTTAAAATAATCCTAAAAAAATATAAATTCAGAATCAACAAAAAAATTTAGAGTTACTGAAAGTTTGAATAAAATTTAGTTCAGGCCAACCGTGCCTAAAAAAGCCTTCTTTTTCCCCGTTTCGAACTGAAATGTCCCCTTATGGTTCTGAAGCCAGAAAGCGTTTATCAAGATGGAGGACAATCGGATAACAAGCTCTACTCGGCAAAATTGGCATTGTCATTTGAGTACAGTTATAGAATTGAAGGAGATATTGAAAATACATGGTCTCAATACCACTGGTAACAAAAACGAATTAGTTGCACGAATTCTCGAAGCGAATCCATGTGGAGAATGGCACGTGGAAGAAGAGACAGACGAAAATTCGACGAGGACTCTGTCTGGATCATGCAAATTGGATGCTGCGAGGAAAGAGGCTGATAATGTGATGCAAGAGTTAGCCAAAGCAAGGAAGCAGATCACAGAGTTGAGAGAAGCGGCACGATTAAATGACATTAAGAAAGGAAAACGAAGAGCATTGGAGGAAATAAATGCTCAGAGAGAAGCTTTAAAGGGTTAGATACCTATTTTTGTGTCAAAAAATTGATTTTTTCATTGCATATATCAAAATTACATACTCTTCAAAATGTTTTCATAAAATTTCATGAAAATCGGAACATTAGTACCAAACTTTTGGCTGTTTTAATTCGCTACTTTTCAAAGAAGAGTATATACACTTGAACTTTAATGGCTATTATCTCGGAATCGTGATTTTTGAGAACTACGGTTACAGTGACTGCGATTCTTTTAAAACCGCTAAACCGGTCGGGCTGAAATTTTCAGGGGTTCTTTATACATACAATAGCTAGTGCGTGAACGAAGGAATTCAAATTGAACCAAAATTAATTTTTTTTTTTGGTCAAAAGACCAAATTTTAAAACCCTAAAATCACGATTCTTGAGGAAAAATAATCGCCATTTCTAGAAAAAAATTTGATTTTCAAAATCCTTCGTTCACGCACGAGGTAATTTATTATGGTAACGAAATTTCCATTGTTTTTTAATTTTAGTTAAACTCTGTCTGACTTATCGCAGTCACCGCGAGCATCTATCAAAAAAGGTGTTTTATTGCAAGATCTTCAGTTTTCACAATTTTTAATATTTTTTAATAAAAATTTATATAAAAGTACATCGAAATATGTATTTTTCGATAAAATAAACTTCGTCTTAAAAAAATTTTTAAAAATGACTAACTAATTTTTTGAAAATTCCTCTTTTTCGACGCGCATAAAGGTATATAACCCCTTAATTTGTGAGTTAGCAGAGGCGAGGAAACAAATCGCTATCATGCAAAATGGTGCTTCGTCTCTTCGTGAAGATAGAGGAAATTTTGACTTGACAGGAGAAGGAATGGCACGATTGGAGAACGATTACGATGGTAACCGAAGGTTGGGTGGGAATGAATATGATTCATCGGCCGGCACAGGAGGGGACTCCATGACTGAGTATCTCTCCTAAGGGAGAGCTTCTTCGCTCCTTTGACGGTTCTGATAGCGATTTTGAAGAATGGCAGCAGCAGATTCTGTTGGTGAAAACTGCGTACAATTTGGACAATAATACTACTAGGGTATTGATATGCTCCAAGCTGAAGGGACGAGCATTGACTTAATGGAAGGGATACCTGACCAACAGTTAAAGGATCAGTCCAGAATACACCAATTCAACACAATCGAGGCATTACTGACAGCATTTAAAAAAATTTTCCTCTCAGGACGAGCAGATAATCCTACCACAAGTACTAGCAATCCAAAGTTGATGAGGACTTCTGGAAAGAGGGAGAAGGAGGAGATAAAACCGAAGAAGAAGGCTGGTGTCACCACTACTGTTCCCTCTCGATGTTATAATTGTGGGGAGAAGGGACATATTTCCCCTGCTTGCAAGCAGCCTGGGCGAGCAAACGGAGCGTGCTATAGGTGTGAATCGACTGTGAATCAGATTGTGAATTGCCCAAAGAAGAAGAAAGCCCAGAAGGAGATTACTACAATCCAGGCGTTCACATGTGACAACAACTATCCTTATGTGGGATTTCGGTTTGACGTCGATGGTGAGTAATTTGATGTAAGATCTAGAGCATTGTTGGATAGCGGTAGTCCGGTAAGTCTGATTAAAGAAGCTCTTTTTTTTTGTAGTAAGAGATAATGTAAATTCAATGAATTATAGCGGAATTAACAATTCTAAACTTAATGTATTGGGGTCGGTAACTGTAATGTTGTTAATGAGAGGTGTCTCACGAGAAATAAATTTGTTAGTTGTAAATAATGACACGATAAAGTCGTCGATTTTATTAGGGCGTGATACATTGACAAAATTTAGACTTACATTTTCTGAAGGGAATAATATATTTGTATTTGCGGTTAATGAAATTTTGAATATTGACGTGTCGAAGAAAATAAGGAACGAGATAGAATTGAACATTGACAATAACGTTGAAATTATTTCGCAAGAGAAAATGATAGACTTATTTCGAAACAAATATGTGAATACTGAAAGGCCGGAGTTACCGAAGACAAAAGCCGAATTAAAAATCCTATTAAAGCAACATAAACTGTTTCAATTCTCACTTCGTGGCCTGTTCTTTGTTGAAAAACAAAATTTGAAAG